GCTTTCCCTGGAGGAAGGGGGGAAAGGGGAACTGCCTCCGGCTCAGGATGACAGAAACGGTGACACCGAGCACCGGTGGCCAAAACACTGGTGAGGAGAGGAAGGGGAAGCCCCAAAGAAACCTCTCCTAACCGTGGTACCTAGTGCAGCTTTCCCTGGAGGAAGGGGGGAAAGGGGAACTGCCTCCGGCTCAGGATGACAGAAACGGTGACACCGAGCACCGGTGGCCAAAACACTGGTGAGGAGAGGAAGGTGAAGCCCCAAAGAAACCTCTCCTAACCGTGGTACCTAGTACTGGACCTAACGCAGCAATTAAGACTAAAATGAATGCAGACTTTCAGGTTGAGGCTGGTTGATTTTTTGGTTTGGTTGGTTTTTGGGTTTTTTTGTTTTTGTTTTTGGGTTTTTTTGTTGTGTTTGGGTTTCTTTTTTTTCCAACCACCTAAACTCCAGCCCCTGTTTTCATCTGACAGGGCTGTGGCACAGACTTACTGGAGGGCATAGCCTCTAACCTGGTTAGCCAGACTGGTCAGAGGGCACGAGGAGGATACCACAGCAGCTCCCAACACGTTTCAAACACCAGACTCTTCTACCATGATCCACTCTTCCTGCAGATGTGTTAGCCAATTAATGATTTGCAGCGTTTTGAAGGTAAGCATCATACGTACCAAGAATAATCTCACTTGATGTTCTGTATCATGTTTTATTAAAAACAAACTGTCAAATCAGATGACTACTTAGCTTAAGTAGCTGAAACTGATAATCATCTAGATGTTTGTCCAAACACTGAAAAACCCTGGTCACAAGTAGCCCTTAGTAGTAGTAGTGCTGAAGCCGTGGTTATCAAAGGACAGAGATAAGGCAAGGTTTGCAGAGAGGCAGCACTGGTGGATGCAGTTGGAAAAAACAGATAATCTTCTAAACACAAGCCCTTCAGGTGCCCTTTACATTTGCAGGTAACTCCACAAACTACAGCAATGTAGGCCTTTCTTCATTTCAGTGAAGGTTTGTAAAATCAGATGCTGACTTTTCAGCAGCTACTTCCACAGAGCATCTTCTACTTACCCAGAATACACAGTTACAAGATTTTCACTAACAAAATGCATGCAACTATTACAGTGGTGCTCACTTATGTGGCATTTTCCTGCCAGATGCTACATACTGCAGCTGATCAAGATGGCATTCATAGTTCCCTTTCCATGAGGAGACATTTTTTGTAGATGTCTTTCAGATAGAATTTATCTTTTCTTGGGATATTATACAACGCCGTCACTACCCATACTCCATACGCTAGAGTACAACAAAACTCAAGAATTCTGTGGTTGGTTACTCTGGCTGCATAGTGCCTGAACTCTGGGGATGAAGACAGTGAAATGATTCTTCAGTGAGTTGTAAACTGGGACAGGTCTTTTTGTTTTGTACACTAAGTCCCATTTTGGAGTTCTTCTCTCAAAGCCAGCAGAAAAAAGATCTCACTTTTTCACAAAAATGTACAACTGTAAAACCAAGTAAAGGGAGAAAGACAATCCACAACAACTGCATGCTTAAAATTAGTTCTGCTTGACAGAAAATTACCAAGTAGGTATATGTAAGAACCAGGCAGATTCCAGATCCGACACTGACATCCTACTACATTTAGTTCTGGATATCAACAAAGCATTGCCCAGGTAATTGGCCAAGTAATTTTAAGGTTCTTCTGTTTCACCACTGGAACTAAGTCAGGTCTTACTTAGCTTTTGCATCATGATTGCCTCTGGAAGCCTGAATCCCAAGGCAGGATTCCACTGTACAGTAACATATAGCCCCTTCTCCAGAAAGTTTACATATATAGATACCAGAAACCGGTAGTTTCAATTCTAGAGTATCATTCATGTTTCTTTTCACTATGTCATTTTGTTTGACATATGAATAGTTTTGCTTTTTTCTAATGTTACAATAATTGATGCTAAAGCTGAAGACATCAAAGTTGTTTTAAAAAAATTCCTTTACCAGAGGGAAAAAAGGTTTTGTCCTTGCTAGAGGGCAAAACAAGTCTTCAACCAAAAGTTTGTAAACTTTCAAAGCAGGTAGGTAAATATGAGGTGGCGAGTTTAAAGAAAGCTAAAGGTGCAGTTAGAAGATATTCTGCAAGAAATCTGTAACTTGTGAAAACAACAAGGATGCTGTATTAGGAGCAAAGAGTAATGCCAAATAATTGGGCACTTCACACAATGAGGACATACAGGGCTGTGACAAAGATGATGTAAGATTCCACATGGATACTAAAAATCTTAAAAATAACGCCTGCTTTTAGGTGATCATGTTACTGGATCTCATCTTGGAACTGCAGTAGAAGAAAGGTACCTAGCAGGATATTGTAATATTAAGGATACAGATTATAACACAGACAGTTTACCTACAACTTTTGTTCTAACATGCAGTTTCTTCAAGCCCTGGCTCTTGTTTCAGGAACCTTATTATAAATGGCAGATAAGGAACTACATTTGTCTCAACCGAAAGAGTTATGCAAGAAAGCAAAACAAAAGCATATCCTGGGTGGCTGTAAAGTCATTTAAAAATGTCTAACATTTATTATAAAAACATTCAGGCAAATATTCTCTGTTAATAAATTATACATAGATAGCAGTTACCTTTTCCTTTCGTAACTTAGTCCAGTCAATTTCTGAAGAATGACTGTAAAAGTGAGGAGCATCTATATCGCAGTCCCAACACGGCTATTTACAAGCTATGACCTTAGTCCATACAAGTATTCTTTGTATTCTAATCTGTAAAATGAGAATATTTACTTGCTTTGTTCATAGAGATCAACAAACACATATATCACAAGACTATGTAGTGCCAAAACACTACACACAGTTTCCTTATCTGGAAAGGCTAACGTTTCACCTTCCACTCCAGCTTACCCTTCCCAAATTCTATTCACCCAATCATGAAAGCTTTTTTTTTTTTTTTTTGGGGGGGGGGGCAACATTCCATTGGGTACCTTCAATCATAATTTAATCAAATACTGGATTAGAATTGAATCCTGTCTCATTGGGCTTTTCTCTTTTTCAAAAAGTATTTCTCTGGTTAAAGAAAGACCTAAATGGAAGTAGACAAACATTTAGAGAGCACTAGCACAAAACTACTAGAATGATATCAACTCCACAAGATCCTTCAGGAAGCCGTGAGAGAAACAAGTACAGCCAGAGAGCTAAGTGAAGCACAGTTCTAAAATTCTTCAACACATGAACAGTTCACACAAATTCTGATTTCAGACATAGCCTCATAAATCTGAATCAAAACATTTTTTACTTTGTTATTATTACAACAGGTGCAGTAGACAAACATTAGCATTCTTTCTTTGCATTATTTACTTAAAACAAGGAGTAACGTCTAGATAGTGACCTCAGAACACACGTCACACATTTCACTTTTCATGGCCTTCACACACTACAAGATTCACACAAGTATTAGATCCAGAACTCTAAGATATCTGTGCTCCCTAAATTAGTGAAGCTTTTATAAAACAGACTCTCGGTCCTTTCACCAACTACTTTTGCCTAGTCCAAAGCAGCCCTCTGAAACCCAGAGCTAATAAAAGAATTCAATTTGGAGACATGAAATACCGAAACTG